AGCCATAGGGCTCCCAAGCCCCGCCAGGCGATGTGAAGTACATGCTGGGTAGGCCCAGTGGCAGTCATGGTCAGGAGCCAAAGTCAAGTTCAGGTCTCTGGGAGTGCAACCTCGACTCAGGACAGGGCAGGATGGGCCCGGCCATAAAGCCTGGCTGCGGGCGGTGAAAGGGGCTCCATGCATCCTGTCCGGGGTCTAAGTGGCAGGGGCATGAGTTTCCTAGGGCTTCCGTGACAAATGACCACAAACCGAGAGGTGTAAAACAACAGGAATTTGTTCTCTCTCGGTTCTGGAGGCCAGAATCAGACAAAGTGTCAGCAGGTTTGATACCTTTTGGAGACTGAGGGCAAATCTGTTCCGTGCCTTTCTCCTAGCTGCTGGTGTAGCCGGCAGTCCCCGGAATTCCTTGGATTACAGCTGCATCACTGTAATCTCTGCCTCAGTCATCACATGGCCTTCTTCTCTGTGTGTGTCCTCTCCTCTTCTATAACACCAGTCATTGGATTCAGGGCCCACCCTAATCCAGCATGCCTTCCTCATCACTTGATTACTTCTGCAAAGACCCAATTTCCAAATAAGGTTGCATTCATAGATACCAGGAGTTAGAACTTGAACATGTTTGTTGGGGAGTGGGCACAATTCAACCTACTACATGTGGTTTGCATGGTAAAACATTGGGCTTTGAGGCCATGGTAAACTGAGTCCAAGTATTGGCTCAGCCACTCACCAGCTTGAACACACTTAGCCTGATTGAGCCACAGTACCCTCATCTGGAATGTGGTGAGAACATGTATTGCCTCATGGGGCTGCTGGAAGGATCGCATAAGACAATATGGGTAGCACATTTGGCGATGCTTGGTGTATAAGAAATATTCATGAATAATAGCAGTACTTACTCTTATTACTACAGTAAGTCATAATCTGAGCAAGCATATTCCCTGGAAGATCCCAACCAAGAGACTGAGCACAGAGATGGTGAATCTGGTGGAGACCAAACTTGAGTATCCAAGTAGGCAGGTGCCAACAGGGACACCAGACACAGGTGGCAAGCTGGGGCTTGAGGAACAAAGCTGAGTCCCTATGGAGGACCCCTGTCCTAAGAGAAGGCCAACTAGTGATAAGTGGTCAGAACTGGGACCGTGGTCACAAGTCTTTTTGTAGAATCTGGTGAGAGGTTGCCCAAGTTTCAGTCTGAGGTACAAGGCTAAGGCCCAACCAGCAGCCAAGGCAGTTGGATGCTTAGGGCCAAAATATGGAGCTGGGTCTGGTTTAGCCATTTCTTCCTTCAGTTCTGGTTGGGGATTTAATAGAACAGGTGGGGTCTAGTGGCCTCATGCAAGGATAGAATGGAAGAGGAGAGGCTGGAGACAAGCAGGTCCTGACATTCTTGGTAAGTGAAAAGCGCTTGTGGGGATGAATCAGTGTCCTAGAAGGGCCATCCTGCCTGGTGCAGAGGGTTGGAAAATGTATGGAAAGGTTCTTAGGGAGGTAGGAGGGGTCAATAAATCACCCATAAGACCAATAAATGTGTTAGACAAGCCAGAGGTTTGGGGGGTAGTCAAGGATGTGATTACTATAAATATGAGAGCAAATACCTTGAACCTTCTCTGAGCCTTAGTTTCTCCTCCATTAAAAAAAAAAGTGTTGGAGTAGATATTCTTAAAGTTCTCTTGTCCAGCTCTGACAGCCTATGATTTTATGAATCATCCTCAAAGAAAACTTGCATGAGTGGGAGGAACCTGCCAAGACTGGGCCTTTCATTCTGAGTAATGAACTGAAACAGCAAAGGCTTGACATCTGTTCTGCTCTTTCAAGAGAACTTGGACAAAATAATGCCTTTTTCAGGGAAATCATAAACGACAAAATGTCGCGTGTCTTGCCTACACAAAATTGAAGTGGAGAACTCCAGCATCCTTGTAGCCCAAGGGAGAACACACATCAAAATTCCCCATGAAGAAGGTCAGGTTGACCAGTTGTCTTGCTGCTGTAGGCACAGAATGCCAGAGATGTCCCTGCCTCCTGCCCCATAACGGCAGAAAGTAGAAAGACTGGTGGGGACATTCTGAAAGTTCTGAGTGGGTTTGGGGGAAGAAAGAGGGCCTGTAGCCCTATGGTTGGCTTCCTCATCAATCCTAAAACATTTCTGATAGATGGAACAAGCCTTGGCTATAAACACCTTGATCCCCCCGGTAATAAATGCTCTCATCCTACTTGCCGCCAAAAGCCAAAGGAAGATTTGCCTCCATTGACTTTGAGGTTCTCCCAAGGATCCACTCCAAGCCCCAGAGGCCGTTCCCCAGAGACCAGTTCTAAATGCATTCTGAACAATGATGATAACATGGGGTTCAGAACAGAGCCTCCCAAACAAGCACTATGTTTTGAAGGGACAAGGCTGGGGGAGGCCAACGTCTAGAATCAAAAGCCCATTTCACCCCTGCCATGCCAACATTATAGAGGATCCTAGAACTTCAGGTCTGAAAGGGACCCTCCAGGTTACCCAACCCTGGCTCCCACCCTACTCAGAGTCTATCCTCAGCCCCCAAAAGGGTATCACTCGACAAGAAGCTCCATGAGAGCAGGAGCTGGGTCTCTTGCTCACCGCAGCAGCCCAGACTGGTACACAGTCAATCTTGAGCAAATATGCATTAGTCCCTCTGAACGTTCCCAGACAGTTCTCTCTCTTCTGTTGTTTTCCTGAATGAGAGGGCCCCAGGGAACTGGGGTGGCAGCAACTGCTTGTTTCTTCTTCTCTGCCTTAAGAGCTAAGCAAGTTCCAGTTCATACGTTCAGAAATTTATAAAGGGAAGGTCCCAGTAGAAAATGATCCTTTATAATAGACTCCTCCTCCCTGTCTTTTCTGAGGTTCACTGAACCCTTGTGCTCCAAGTGTCAATAAGTGGGTATGGGGTGCTGTTAGAAGGAGATACATTGGGGTGAGCAATATCACGTTGTGTTCCCCAATGCCCCCAGTCTAGGAAACCTGCAGAGCCATTTAGAAGCTAAGGTGCCACCCGTATCAGTACTCATCTCCTTGAAGTCTGATTTCGACTTGGTTCCTGGTTTTTATTCTAGGATTAGTGGAATCAGATAGTGTTAACAGCTACCATTTAGTAAACGATGTGATTAGTGTGCATTTCCCTCACTGTTGAGCTCTACTCTATATTTCCCAATGCCTATTGGATCTCCTAAATAATGGATGGATGGATGGATGGATGGATGGATGGATGGATGGATGGATGGATGGAGCTGGACCAAGCCAGTGGGTGGCTGCCTAGAAGCATTGCCTTGGGAGGGGGGTCTCAGAAGTAGCCTCCCTAGTCTTAGCAAAAGGGTCTTTAGTGCTGGTCCTTAGGACCCAGCCTCCCTTTCTGTCCTGTCCCATCTAAGGAAGGGAAGTGATAACTTGGTTCATATTCTAATGAGAAAATATCCTCAGGAACCTTTGGGGTGAACTCTCAGAGGGAAACATTATTAATGAACAAAATATTACAGAGGCTGAGATGGGGATTGGAAATTGAGAAATGAAGCAGGACGTCAGCTATAGTCTGACATGTGCTTAAAAACTCACAGGTAACTAAGCAGATAAGACAAAAGGTCACATGGCTGGGATCTTACCATGGATCAGAGCAGACTTCATGGGAGTTTAGAACTGGAGGCTATCAGAAAGGGCTTCTTGGAAGAGGTAGCATGGGCAAAGAATATGGAAGATGATAAAAGGCCACAGGGAGAGGGCGTTCTCAATAGGGCACAGTGTATGCCAAGCATGGATACAGTCAAGAGGAAGCAATTAAATGGGGCCTCAATTAGAAATAGGGCAGTGGGGTATGGCTAGAAAGAAAGCAGTGAAGGGTTAGAGATTTTTAATTAGTGAAAGCTCAGACCCAAGAGATAGATGTGATGCGCTAAGATTTATCAACATATGAACATTCCTAGCCTTCCCTACCGCTCCTTCCTTCCTCTGCCCTCGCAGGAGGGCTATGGATTTGCCTCTTTAGTTCTTCCCTACCTGCTCCCTCCAAGGAAGGTATTATTTCTGCCTAACTGGTTTGGGGAGCTTTTAGGACATATAGAATATCTAGAGTGGGGTAAAACAGTTGAGAAGTGGATGGGAGAGGAAAACATTTAAACAAGAGTTGTTGTGGATTCCATGTCCTCTTCATGATGTTTGAAAGTCACAAATAAAAACAAGAGTCATCTGCCCGGCCGGTGTGGCTCAGCAGTTGGACCGTCGGCCTGTGGTCCGGAAAGACCCAGGTTCTGTTCCCGCTAGGGGCACATACCTCGGTTGCAGTTTTATCCCTGGCCCTGATTGGATCATGCGGGTGGCAACCACCCGATGTGTCCCTTTCACGTCAATGTTTCTCTCTCTCTCTCTCTCTCCCTCCCACCCTATCTGAACAAAATATGGAAAAATGTCCTCAGGTGAGGATAAAAACAAAACAAAAACAACAGTGATCTGCCCGGCTGGTGTGGCTCAGTGGTTGAGCATCGACCCATGCAGCAAGAGGTCACTGGTTCGATACCCAGTCAGGACACATGCCCAGGCTGTGGGCCCGATTCCCAGTGTGGAGCATGCAGGAGGCGGCCAGTTGATGTCCTCCCTCATCGATGTTTCTATCTCTCTCTCCGTCTCTCTGTAAAATCACTAAAGAAAAAAAAAAGTTTAAATAAATGAAAACATGAGTGATCTTTAAATGTCTTTAGGTCACTGAACTGTAACCATTTTGAGACTAGACCACATGGTTACAGCATGTTTATACTGCTGTCCTTTTCCTGAAGGACATGAGCTCTTGGAGAACAGGGGTTAAGTTCATCATTGTCTCCTCAGCACCTTGAGTGTGGCCTGGCCCAGAAGAAGGGTTAGTAAATGTTGAAACTGAAGAGTGGTTAAGTAATCCAGAGCTCAGGCAACTGACTCCACTCCAAAGAGTGTCCTGTCCACTGCTCATCTGAGGCTTTGCTCACAGTCTGTCTGTCTCTCTCTCTCTCTCTCACTGCAGAAGGCGGACCTGGCCGTGGCCCCACTGACCATCACCCATGTCCGCGAGAAGGCCATTGACTTCTCCAAGCCCTTCATGACGCTTGGTGTCAGCATCCTCTATCGCAAGCCCAATGGCACCAACCCCAGCGTCTTCTCCTTCCTCAACCCCCTGTCCCCAGACATCTGGATGTACGTGCTGCTCGCCTACCTGGGTGTCAGCTGTGTCCTCTTTGTCATCGCCAGGTAAGAGCAATGCTATGGCCGGAGCTCTGGGCCGAGGTTGGAGTTTTAGGGAACCAGGCAAGTCCCCACTCAGACCACTGCTATTCATGCTCCTCTCTCCTCTGCAGCTCAGATCCCTTTATATTCCCTGGGGACTACTTCATGGCCCCACGCTTGAATCCCCCAGTCCTTACCTGGTCTGTGTGTACAAGTGAGATGCAGCACTTGCACCCCAGGCCCTGTGAGCAGGCTTAGAGAGGTTAAGTCACTGCCCAGAGCTGTGCCACCTGGACCAGGCACCCAGTACTGCAGACCCAGGTGCATGGGTGGCCCAGCAGGTGGCCTGACGCTTGCAAAAGGACTGTGGTCATCTAATCCACAACAGCAGGGATACCGTGTAGAATCACACACACGCACTCGTGCAGAAACCTACCTGTCTGTAAGGCACGCTAGCAATACCCTAACACATCAGGTTGTTTGAATGAAAGATGCTGGCACATGCTCACGGGAGATGGTAGAAGGAGGTAACTGGGGGCACGTTGAGCTCAGTGTTTACTGAGCACCTAGTGTGTGCCAAGCACCATGCTCTGTCCTTCACAACATCATATTATTGAGTCCTCACAGCCTCCCGTAAAGAGGAGACATCTGAGGCTCAGGAAGGCTCAGTCCTCGCCAAGGCCAGCCTAGCCATAGCGACACAGCCAGTTCTCATGTGAACTCGAGTCACCAGGTGTTTTATCTGTGACCCACATCTCTGGCCACCTGGACATCCGCCCTCTGCCTCTTCCCCCAGTAGGGGACTGCTGGGCCCAGCTCCCATCCCCTACTGGCCAGGCCTTCTGCCCCCTCTCTCCAGGCTCCAGCCCAGCCTCTGCCCTGGTTATTTTTTTCTCTAAATCCTAACAAAGTACGAAGAGAGACTTCTCTGGAGAGGCAATTTGAGATCCAAGGACTTGGTGTTTCAGCCCTTTTTTCTCCTGGATCTTCTTTGAAAACCTTTCCCCCACCCTCCTCCCTTCGCTCCCTCCTCCCACACAGAGAGAGACCAAAGGGAAGGACGGCAGAGATGAAATTGTCCTGCCTCCGAAGCCCTTTGCTGCCCGCCGGCCTGAGGCGCCTGCCTGCAGCTGCCAGAGAGGCCTTCATTAGGCCTCTTGTCTCGAATGGTCTAACAAGCCTTTGAAAGCCAGGAGCCACTCTCTGCTGCTCTCACCATCATTTCAGCAGCTCCAGCAGCCTCCCAGCTCCCCACCCCTGGAAAATAGCTCACGCTTCTCCAGCATCAGTTCTGCGCATGTGATGTGCGTCCCATCCCCCACCCATTCTGGCCTTTCACCAGCTGCTGGCAGCCAAGCCTGCTTTCCCCCACGTCCCTCCCGGCCAGAGAGATAGGGACCCCCTTCCCAAGGTCAGGATGGGGAGACTTTGAGGGAGAGACAGGATTTCTGGAGCAGCTGGAATGACGTGGGACACATGACGAGAGAGGATAGGGGCAAGGGTCCTGGCCACAGAGCCACGAAGAGCATCACAGTACAATTGTCACACTGTGTAGCACTCACATAACACAATTTACATGTGTCTGGTCAAATCATCATGACAGTCTTGTGAGGTGGATAGAATTATCCCCACTTTGCAGAAGTAGAAAACTGAGGCTGAGAAAGGTTAAGTCATTGCCCAAAGTCACAAAACTTTTTCTTTGCAGAGTTAGACTCAAATCATGACCTGTCCAAGTTTAAATCAGGGGTGGCAAACGAAGTTCCTGGAGGGGCCAGGCAGGAAGCATGGGAAAGGCAAGCAGGCTGAGGGGTAGGCAGCAGGTAGTGATAGGGACTGAAGCAAACTGGAGGCACATACCTGGCGAAGGGGCGCACACCTGGAGGCACACACCTGGTGAAAGGGGTGCATACCTGGAGGCACACACCTGGCGAAGAGGCACACACCTGGAGGCACACATCTAGTGAAAGGGGTGCATACCTGGAGGCACACACCTGGCGAAGGGGCACACACCTGGCAAAGGGGCACACACCTGGAGGCACACACCTGGTGAAGAGGCACACACCTGGTGAAGGGTACACACCTAGAGGCACACACCTGGTTAAAAGGTCGATACTCAGCTCCAACAGCTGTGCCGGGCAGGACGCTGTGCCAGTGTTGCACAGTGCGTGATTTTTAGAGAGATTCAGACTTTTATGTGACACCTCGTGGCTTTTATATGTAGCCACGAATTCAATTTTTTACAACACTGTCGGGGTCAAACACAGCACTTCTGTATGGTGCACATGGCCCTCGGTCCCCATCTCCATGTGGCCTCTGTCTTTTGGACCACTCCATGCTGGCTGCTGAAGAGATGGGGTCTGTGAAGGCAGCAGGTCCCCAGATCCACTCCATGGCATCTCTGGCATGACGCAGGGCTTGTCCATCTTGCAAATGGGTCTGGCCTGGCTCGTGCCTGCCTAGCGCCAGGGGTTCAACATTGCTAAGGCCTTTTTCGGCCACCAGGATACCCTGCTTCATGCCACACCAGCCAAGCCAGCCCCTTGGAGACTTCCTCCAGGGTCTCTTCACCTCTGAGTGCTCCGGCTTCCTCCACCCTTCGTTTCTTCAACAGGAACTCCAGCGAAAGGGGCACGCACCTGGGGGCACACACCTGGCAAAGGGGCACACACCTGGAGGCACACACCTGGGTACACCAAGACCCCTCCACCTACCAGGATTCTCTTCCATAGAAGGCAGTGGGGGCTTAAAGTAACAGTTTTTCCCTGTCATACATGCATTTGTATATTCAGAGAAAAAATCTGAACATTTATATAGCACATTGTTCTCTCCAGGCGGTGGGATCCTGGGTACTTTCACTTTCTCACTGTGTTCTTCTGTGTTGTTTGACTGTTTTATGAAGAGTGTATTTGACTTTTTTTTCCCACTTAAAAACTTAAAGGAGTATACAAGAAATTCAAAAATATAAATAAATAAAAATAGTAATAAATAATAGTAAATAAATAAATAATAATACAAATAATTCAAAAGCCCGTTCTCATTTTTTTTTTTTATCCTCACCCGAGGACATTTTTCCATTTTTTGTACAGATAGAGTGGGAGGGAGAGACAGGAAGAGAGAAAGAGAGAAACATCGATGTGAAAGGGACACATCGAGTGGCTGCCACCCGCACGACCAACCAGGGTCAGGGACAAACTGCAACCAAGGTACATGCCCTTAGCGGGAACCGAACCCGGGTCTCTCCGGACCGCAGGCTGATGCTCTAACCGCTGAGCCAAACCGACCAGGGCCCGTTCTCATTTTTAAAAATTCATATAATATGCCTGGCCAAAGTGGCTCAGTTGGCTGAGCATCATTCCCGTACACTGAAAGGTTGCCGGTTCGATTCCCGGTCAGGGCACATACCTGGGTTGCAGGTTTGATTCCCAGTCGGGACATGAACAGAAGGCAGCCAGTTGCCCTGGCCGGTTTGGCTCAGCGGTTAGAGCATCCACCTGCGGTCCGGAGAAGGCAGCCAGTTGATGTTTCTCTCATATTGATCTCTCTCTCTCTCTCTCTAAGCATGTCCTTGGGTGAGGATTAAAAAAATAAAAATCCATATCATACAAATACAGCAAAAGGCGTCCCTAAAATCCCTTCAGCCGCTCTAACTCCCCTCTCTGGAGGAAAACGCTGATATTTTTTAGAATTGGATTCTTCCAGATGCTTCATATGCATTTATATACAAACGTACAAAAAGAAGTAGATAGCTGTGTCTTCGGGAATCTATTTACATAAATGTATCCTATTGTCCTTATTTTTATCGCTTTTTTTTTTTTGACCAAACGTGTTGCAGATCTTTCCCGGCCGGTGGCAGCATCTCGTTCTCGCCGATGAGCTGTGTGATGTTCCACAGTGCAGCCGTGGCCCAGTTCAGCTCATCATCCCTCTATTGAAGGGCATTTCCGTTGTCGCCAGCTTTTTGCTATTACCAACAATGCTTTGATAAACATCCTCGTGTGCTTCTCTTTCACGCTGATGTACTCATGTTTTTTCAGGACAGATAATGAGTCGCAGAATGGCTGGGTTGAAGGGCCTGTGCACTTTTAATTTTAAGGGATATACTGAATTACTTTTATAACCAGCAAAAGCCACTAACAATAAAGAACAAAACAAAACAGTCCTGGTTTCCCATCCCTGCCTCCCCCGCAGAACAATGAGGAGATTGATGCTGAAGTGGTGGGCACACCAGTGTCTGCTGAACCACCCGCTGGTGTGACCCAGATGCCCCTTCCCGCCCATCCCCCTGCAGCTCAGCCTCAGGACTCCCTCTTCTCGCTGCAGGTTCAGCCCTTATGAGTGGTACGACGCTCACCCCTGCAATCCTGGCTCCGAGGTGGTGGAAAACAACTTCACTCTGCTGAACAGCTTCTGGTTCGGAATGGGGTCCCTGATGCAACAAGGTATGTGCCCCCTCCCCAGGGGGAGCCTCCTCGCCCCAGGAGCCCTCTTCTCCCAGGGGGTGGGAGGGGGGTCAGCCTTTATGGAGTCAGCAGTCAGCCCACCCTCCAGGACAGCTCAGACCTGCTGAGCTCTCACAAGGTTGGAGATACCTGGACACCCAGGTGTGTGCACTTGCCCCAGCCCCCCACCCTTCACCACTACTGTTTCTGGGTCAGTGCGGGTTCTAAGGTTAAAGCAGATGAGCTGCCCCCACCATGTTATGCAGGGCTGATCCCCAGCCCCTCCTGCCCCAACTGAGGTGGACATAGAGCATCCTTCTCACTGGGGCCGACTCCACCGATGGCCTCACCGCCATAGAATCTGGCTGAACAGAGGTGGGCTGAGGATGGGAGGCGACTGGAGACAGGGAGGCTGCGTGGGAGGCCACCGCGGGAATGAGCTGATGAGCTCTGAACTGGGATAGTGGCCGTGGCACTAAAGGACAGAGATAGACAGAGAATTTCAGGATGTAGCCAGGACGTGACCCGGTGGCCTGGCTGTGGGGAGCCTGGGCGTAGGAAGGATCATGTCTGAGGTGGGGACCTGAGCCTGAGTGCATCCGCGGTGGGGTGCATGGAAGGGCACCGTGTTCTCAGCTGCTCTTGAGGGAGGGCCTGGCCCTGGGCTGGTGGCCCTCCCTTTGGAAACACGTGCAGCTGCTCCAAACCTCAGAAAGCAGAGCATCCGGTCTGGCTTCAAGGAGTGTGGAGAAAGACACCGTGGGCTGGCGGTGGGCACAGGGAACGGGCCCCAGCCGGGAAGCATCTCCAGGGAGAACATAAGCCCTTTGCTTCTACCTTGCAGTCCAGAGCCTCATATCTCAGGAAATGGAGGAACCCAAATCTCCGCCTGTGTTAGGGTCCCACTAAGGGACAGTGGGTGACAAGGGGTATGGGAGGGAAGAAGGTCCAAAGAAAATGCCCTTGTCCCTCACTCATCTGTGTGCATTTTCAAGGCCCAGCACGTGTCCTGGTCCTTGGTAGACATCCCCCAGCAAATGCTGAATGGCGGACGAATGAGTGAAAGGATGATATTATCCCATCGAGTCCTGAGTGCCCACTACCTGCCAAGCCCTGTGCTGGGCACTTGAATGAAGAAGGATGAGGAAAGATAAATCTGCCCCCACCTGATGAGTTCCCATCCATGACAGAGCCCAAGGTAGAGAAAGGCCTGGGTAGGGGTCCAACAGAGCCTGGAAAAGCTCACCGAGCAAACAACTAAAATAAGTCCTTCTCCTTTTGGGGGGCAGCCCTAGCCCTGGCTTGAAGCAGTCTGGGGGGAGGGGCCAGCAGGTGGGACTGGGTGACTGGCTGGGCGAGGAAGCTGAGGAGCCTTGGTGGGAAGTGACAGGCAGCTCCCAAGGGACGTGCCTCGGTCTGTCCCACTATTAATGAGCGTCCTGCAGCCTCACCTTGCTTCTTTGTCCATCATCTTTGTTCGGTGACAGTTGGGAAAGACCTGGAAGGCCCTCGACGCGGTAATAGCGTCTCCGCTTCCATCTCCTGCTGCTATTCAAAGCACCGGCCCCTTGTGTATTCCCCACGAGGTTTTGATTAGGAGGGAGAAAAATAGTTGTGTATTTGAAAACCTCTCCCTGGAGTGATTTCTTTGAGGGGGAAAATATCATCCATATCAAAGCAGACACTTTTCAGATTGCAGGTCCAAACATTCTGGAAAGTTCAGGAGTCACTTGCTATTTAAATCTCTTGAAAGCCGCCCAGTTAATTACTTCAGTTAGAAGGTTTCATCTAGACTGTGCTCCACACCCAAGGTCGGGAGGAAGAGTTATCTATTTCTGCAAAGAGCTTCAAAAAATGTTGATTTTTCTTCTTCTGCGAAGCACGACACAGCAATCTTGTATTTGTATACCAAATGCATTTCCAACACAATTTCGCCTCAAATTGTATTATCGCAGCAGCACAGTGTTTGTGTGAGGCCGGGGAGAGGAAGGGGGGACGCATCTGGCACAAGGTGCTACAGAGAGTCAGGAGCAGGGTTCACTCAGGAACCCGGGGGCTCTGACTCCCGGTGATCAGAACCTGGGGCCATCCAGGGCTCCATGGAAGGCATCACGGCCCGACGAGCCTGTGACATGCTTTGCACGGCCGTTGTTCTAGAGCAGCAGTTCTTAAGTGTCAGCCTGCATCAGAGTCGCCTGGAGGGCTTGTTAAACCCAGGTTGTGGAGCCCGTCCCCGAAGTCACTGATTCCGTAAGTCCTGGCCTGGGGCCTGAGAGTGGGCATTTCAGCAGGTTCCCAGGTGATGCCAATGCTGCTGGTCCAGGGCCCACACTTTGAGAACCCCTGGTTGAGGGTAAGAGCCTTGGCTTTTGTCAGATGGTCAGTGGACAATGACCCGGAGGGCCTGAGCTGCCCTGGTGTGGACACTGTCGGAGGCCTCTGCCTCTTCCCTTCTCCCAGGGTCTGAACTGATGCCCAAAGCCCTGTCCACACGCATCATCGGTGGCATCTGGTGGTTCTTCACGCTCATCATCATCTCCTCCTACACGGCCAACCTCGCCGCCTTCCTGACCGTGGAGCGCATGGAGTCGCCCATCGACTCTGCCGACGACCTGGCCAAGCAAACCAAAATCGAGTACGGGGCTGTCAAGGATGGGGCCACCATGACCTTCTTCAAGGTGAGACCCTCTCCCTCCCACCGCAGCACCACAAGCTGACCCTTTACTGTCCTTCCCTCAGCACACAGAGCCAAGGGGTCAGAAATCCCCAGGGCTCAGCCCCTCCCTAATGGGGACCAGTTAATCTGGGGGAGTTATGGTAATGTGGCCACCTGGGTTGGTCCCCGCACAGATCCTAGAAGTTTCTATACCTGGGACAAGCAGTGTAAAGGTGCTGTCTTTCCTTAAGTCACCAGAGGAGGTCAGGTGGGAGGTGAGCTGGAGAAGGGGAAGAAGTGAGGCCAGAGCCACAAACAGGCCCAGGACCAGCGGGCCTGCCTCTGGCTTTGCGCCCTGGTGGCGCCCACCTCCACCAGGCTGGGCTGGGCTGGGGGCTGAGCTCTTCACTGCTTAGAGGGACAGGGGCACACCTTCCAAGGAGAAGAGGAGACTTAACACCTGAACAAGAGGTTACAAACACTCCTTCGCAGGTTACACTCTTGGAATGCTCGTGTCCAGATAAAGCCCCTGCCACCTGCTCAGGTTACTGCTCTTCTGGGGGTCGGCTGCTCCTCCTGCCTTGGGAGGTGTTGGCTCAGCTCCCCAGTGTGTTTACACCTTCTGCTAGGGTCACTGAGGGTTGAGGAGACTGCCTGACCCTGAAAACCAGTAGCTGGAGATGTTCTTCTGCAAATGAAAGGGATAATGACAATAGCTACGACCACCGAGAGTTCACAGTGAGCCAGTCACCGTGCTACATGCGTCGTTTCATCTCCGTGACAAACCCTGTGAGTAGGAGCTACAGTGACGTCCACTTTACACATGTGGAAACTGAGGCGTAGAGCCGTTAGGTGGCTTGTCCGAGGACTCACAGCTGAAGAAGCCAGGTGCTGACCCAGGGTTGCCTTCCTCTGAGGCCCATGTTCTAGGCTGGGGTCTCACACCTGGGTGTGCATCCCCGTCACCTGGAAGGCTGGGGCAAACCCAGATCGCTGGGCCACATCTCGGAGTTTCTGGCTCAGTGACCTAGGGAAGGGCCGAGAACGTGCCTTCCTAACAGACTGCCAGGCGATGCTGCAGCTGCTGGTAGAGATCACACCTTGAGGACACTGTCCTGGCTATGTCTCCGAAATGGTCAGGATTTGGGAACTCTGTGGCTATAGGTCCATTAGTCCATTTATTTATTTGCTAGTCAGTTGCTCTCAATCAGCCTGAAAGCCTGGGGTGTGTCCCTTTCCCCTGGGCCAGTGGTTCTCAACCTTCCTGATGTCACGACCCTTTAATACATTTCCTCATGTTGTGGTGACCCCCGGCCATAAAATTATTCTTGTTGCTACTTCATAACTGTAATTTTGCTACTGTTGTGTTTTAGGCAACCCCCGTGAAAGGGTCGTTTGACCCTGAAAAGGGTCGCGACCCACAGGTTGAGAAGCACTGCCCGAGGCCCGGCTCCCAGCCCCAGCCTCGCCTCCTTCCGGGCTCAGCCTCTGAGTGCTGGATTGAGCCTCCAATGGGGTCTGAGTGAGGAGAGAGGGAAGGGGCTGGGTGGGAAAGCCTTCTGCCTCCTGGGAGCCCCACCAGGACTCTGCCCCACCCCTACCTTCCCCTGTCCCTCCTCAAGGGTGGAAGCACCTGCTTAGCAAGGGGGGGGGGCTTTTCTCTTGTCTGTTGTTACTGCCACCGAGAAGCCCCAAACGTGGACTTCCTAAAGGTCACCTCCACCTCCTTCAGAGTGAAGGAAAGAGAAAAGCATAGTCCTGGCTCATTAGGCCCTCTCTGGGACCCTGTGTATGTGTTCATGAGTGTGAGCAGTATGAATGTGTTACATGAATATGTGCATATAGCAGTATATAATCCATGTATGTGTGCACACAAGTATGTATGTGTGCAATTGTGCGGAGAATACATGCATGTCCACCTGTTTAAATGTCCCCCTGGGTGTACCTAAATTAGTGTGAGTGGGGGGATGGGCCTGTGTATGTGTAATAGCTCATGTGTTTGTGGAACGGCTCATGCATGTGTGTGTAATAACTTTAGTGTGTGATGGTCCCTGCACACGTGTGTCTGCATGTGTGTAGTGGTCCGTGCATGCATGTATGTGTGTGCGCGTGCACCTGTGCCTGCTTGCGCCTATCCTCAGGCTGTCGCCAGCCCTTTGACTGTGCCCGAGCATCTCTCATGCATTACTCATGAGCCCATCTCTAAGCAGGGCTCCCGATCAAAGGGAAGCAGCATAAATAAGGCTGGTGCAGGCTCATTGCCGCTGATTGGATGTCCTTGCCTCCCTCCACGTGAAGACACCAGATTGGCTTCCCAGAGCCTAGTCCCAGCTCCCCACTGAGCCTCTGTCCTCAGCATCAAGCAGCACCCCCTGCAGCCTGCTCTGCCTTCACCCACCTTCTTGCAAATGGCACAGTGAGGAGGGCAGGGCAGGGATTCAGAGGCTGCCACCCAGCTGAGACGCTGGGGCTCAAGAGCCCATCCTCACAAGAGCCTTTGGCCAGAAACAGCAACTCCATGTCCCCCTGCAGAACCAAATCCACTCCCTTACTCTCCTAATCACCAATTAATGCCTCTTGAAGTCTGGCCTTCTTGACTCCTGCCTTGATTCCAATGAAGCTCTCCTTGCCCCGGCTCCTTTCCTGGGCAGCGGTGGGACTGCTGTGTGGGCAGAAAGGACCTGAAGGTGGATACGTTCGCGCCACCCCAGACGAGGAGCTGAGAACACACAGCACCCCCAAGAAGATCCCTGGGCAAGCTGACTTCCTCCCCTGCCCCGTTCCCTCCATAGCCATGCCTCCCCACCCCAGACCAGGCCACAGCCTCACCGTCACTTTTCAGTTCGAGCTGGAAGAGAAACCAAGGCCCAGAGGGGCTGGGTGACTGGCCCATGGTCACACAGCAGGTCAGTGGTGGAGCCGGTACATAGGTTAGGTAGTCCGTCAGCACGCGAAGCGCCCTCCCCACACGCACTCCAGGATCCTCTGCGGGAGGGCTGTCCCCTCCCCTGCCCGTGAGTGTAAATGGCAAGGCTGGCACTCACCTGGGACAGGGCTCAGCTCCGGGCGTACCCAAGGGTGTCTAGGAGACACTGGCAAAGGCATCAATAATGGTAACGTTTGTTGAGCCCTCACTAGGTGGCAGGCGACATCCAAGCACTTTACCTGTACAGTAGTCCCTTCTCCACGGGGGATGCGTCCCAAGCCCCCCAGTGGATGTCTAAAACCACAGACAGAACAGACTCCTACATGCACCGTTTTTCATAGGCATACATACAACTTACAGCTTCTCTTTGCCAGCATCTTGCATTCTGGGGCCATTATTAAGTAAAATAAGGGTCATTTGAACACCAGCACTGCGGTACCATGACAGTCAGCGTGATAACTGAGACAGCCCCAGTGACTGACAGTGGGGAGCATGCCACGTGGATGCGCTGGACAAAGGGAGGGCGCACTTCTGCACAGGACAGAGCAGGACAGCTTGAGATTTCATCACCCTACTCAGAATAATGTGCAATTTAAAAAATACGAATTGGTTATTTCCGGAATTTTCCATCTCATATTTTTGGACCCTGGTTGACCGTGGGTAACTGAAACTGCTGATATTCACTCATAACGACGTCAGAAGACAGAGACTATTACTATCACCTCCACGTTGCACATGATGAAAGTAGACTCCGAAAGTCACCGGAGTCAACACTGACTTGCCCAGCAGCAAGCTGGTGAAACACAGAGCTGAGATTCGAACTCAAGCCATCTGGCTCTAGTGCCTGTGCTCTTTGTCACTGCGTCCATGTCACCTCTCTAAGGAGCCAGCCAGTCCAGGAGTCAGCTGAGGAGCAGTGAAGCCACAGTCAGTGGAGCCGGACCCCCAGCCTAGAACAGTTACTAAAATAGTAAAAGGGACAGTCCATCTGATAACCGTGTGTGTGCACGCGCGCGCGTGCATGCCATTGTTGAATTAAAGGATGGAATTGAAAGATGACAGGAGTCGAGTGAAGCAAATGCAGGAAACCGTGTTGAGGAAGGGAGCCAAGCAGGGGGCACCCCCAAATGTCCCAGAGTCCAGGGCAGATGAACTTCAATTCTGTGGTTAGCCTGTGTTTCTGGTTAGGCTGCACACCACCATAAAAAGCTGAGAGTAGCACTCATCCCATTCCTGTCCAAAGACAACGGATGTTGGGCTGTCTCAGGGGAGCGCCAGATCCCTCGCTGCTCCCCCACCCGGCAGCCCCGGAGACGCATGGCTGGAGGCAGCCCCATCGTGCCAACGGAAGCTTCATTCGAAGAGTTGTCAAGGAGCAGCAGACATCACAAACAGCGTCTCCTGTGTTGTCCTCCCTCTGTCTCGGAAGATAAAAATTAATTAGGAGATGAAAAAGGAGCCCTTTGAAAGCACCGATTGGCTGTAAAAATATGTAGGCAAATGTAAGGGGAAGCATTGGGAGAGCAGGTTCTTTGCGGGGAGAGCTGGGCAGCTTTGAAGGGAGAGGATGTCAGAAGACAGCTTCTCCTAAGATTTAGCCCTCGCTGGTGTTGGGTTGGAGGGGGCACATCGTATGTGGGTGGGACTGTGTATGAGGGACAGCCGCTTGGGAAAGGGATGGGCTCTCTGTGTCTCTCAAGCCCGCCCTTTGCACAGCCTTGCCCTGTCCTAGCACCCGAGCCCTGAAGGCACTTGGAGAGGGCGTGCAGGCTACCACCACCCCCTTTCAGCTGCTCAGCACTCTTCTGTGAGCTGGAGGACTTGGGGGCACTCCCCGACCTCAGCTTCCCGTTCCTCCCCCCCCCCCCCCCCCGTCCGCTGGCCTCTCCCATAGTGCCTTAGCCCTGTTTTCAGTCAGTAGTGGGGTTGGAAGACCAAAACGGGGTGACCAGGCAGAGCCCGGTGGGGTGCACCTGGCATAGTCGTCACATCGGTCTTAAAGTCAGACAGACCAGGTCTGAAGTCTTGGGTATTGCCTCTGCTGGGTGACCTTGAGCAGGTCACGTCACTTCTCTGAGCCTGAATTTGCTCATCCG